AACATCAGCATTATAGCTAACACCCTAGGAACCATCCCTATAGTATTACCCAATATTCATCCATAATGTCAATGAGAAACTCTGTCAGTGCAAGCACAGAGGTTGAAGCTTGAGATCCTTCGGAGTCTGAAGAGGATGAAACAATGCTATCAAGATCATCAAGAATTACAAGAGATGGAGCATGATCTAAAGCCTCAGATATATAGCTCAAAAGTGCTTGGCGAATGGCCGAGGCCTTTTCCAAGGCAAGTTGAGAACAAGGTACAAAAACTCTGCCAAGGCAAAAAGAGGCATTAGAATACATTTATCTTTTACCCATCAGTACACCCCTCTTACAAATACAATTCACAAAGTTAGAAGTTTTAATGCAAATTCATCACGATGACAACATACACGTGCGCTAAGAGGTTTTCATGTTCTTCGAGACACTTAGCAACAGTTCTCGCCAATAATGTCTTTCCCGAACCCTGATAGGAGAAAAGAGGTGAAGAAAAAAACACATCAAATAAAATATTTAATATATAAAAAAAAAAAAACATTGTTTCGTAGGATAACACCGTAACAGCTTATGAAGATTAACTTCCTGATATTAATATCGAATTAAAATTGATTTAAAAAAAATTGCATTCTTCATATCAAACAAAAAAATAGAGAAAGTCCATTAGCTTGACAAAACCAAAACTTAATCTGTTCATTGAGAAAATTTGATCCTGTAGCTGTCCCCAAATAGTGGCACTAAGATTCTAAGGGATCAAATTGATAAGTAAGAAAAAGAGTACAGGAAATTAGTACCCTGCTTATGTTCGACAATAAGCATTTACCTGATCACTATACTAATGTTTAAACTATCAGGGACTTTTAACACCTTAATCATTTATACCCAAGACCCAATGACAATTGCACGATACTAGAAGAAAATTGAAGATCCATCAGAAAAGAAAAACCACACCTTTACACGGTTAACTGCCACATAAGTGTTTTAACTTCAGAATTCAGATACATCACCCAGTGGAAAAACTAAATCTGAAAAGTTAATAAACTCACAGGAGGTCCATATAGCAGAACATGTCCAGGGAGCGGAAGATCGTGTGAGCTGAACCATGCCCCAGAAGCAGGAGATAACAACACCAACATTCCTACATAGGAAAACATAATGTATTAGGGAATACAATGGAATCCTTAAAGGGGTAAGGGTAAATATAATTTACAATTCTCATAGGAGTTGGTGAACATATATAAAGGTGTCAGAATAGAAGGAAATACGAATACCTACTATTTAAAACGTCAGAAGCAATTGTCCCCATCCAGCTCAAGGTTGATACATCAGAATTGATATCTTTTTCAGACATTCTCTCTCTAACCGAATTAAAGGTCACAGGATCGGCCGTCTTAGGATCGACCACCTTCAGCTTTCCAATTGACTCTACACCTCCAACATTATCACTGCCTTTGTTTCTTTCATCAAATACAAGCTCATATGCATTTCCAGCAAGTTGAGATTCATTGGAGAATTTCAGTACATACAAGATTTCAACTGGTTGCTCAGCATTCTTCTTTTTGTTTTCGAGGGATCCATCTGATGATTCTTGTAGCTTTTCCTCAATCTCAAACTTATGCACCTTCACTTCAAAGTGAAGTATAGTTTCATTTCCCAAAACCAAGGAATTAACTTTTTCTCCTGCATTGGAAGCAATAGCATCAAATTGTGCAAGGATCCACACTTTAACAAGACTCTCTACTCCCTTTAACTCGTCAGAATGCGGAGCCGCCTCTTCATCTTCTTTGCAAGAAGTTTCATATGAAAAAGCAGAAACAACTTTGTCGTGGGTAGACCAATCAGCAACATCTATATAGGTGCTTGAGCCGGTCGTCAGAAGCATGTTTTTCTTCTTGCGAAGTTTATGCCTTTCAAGAACATCTAGACCATTTCTTTCAACAGCTTTGTCCTTCAATATCTTAAAGTGACAAGGAGAAAGTGAAAGGAATGGAATGTCATTCTTCAAAATACCATTGCATTCCTTCAAATAAACCCCTGCAGGCACAATAGCAATCCCATTAAAACAATATGTTTCATCAATGAAAGGTTAGGATGTTCTTCTTTGCCTTATTAAGTGGCAAGCATAGCATACCCCATTAGCCACTTAATACAGGAAGTGATGGAAAATACTCAGGAAGACACCAACTTTTGTGATTAAATGTGAAAGAAACAGTGTGCTAATAAGCATCATACATGTATAATTAGAAGATTAAATCCAACTAAGGCAACTAGAACAATCCAAAATCTAGATGGTGTTCCAATAGCTTTTGTCTGTTTAAAATAACATCCAAAATTGAAACTCCAATGAATATCATTCAAGTCTATAGTTCGATATGCATTATAGCTAAAAAGTACTCTATTAGATATTGGGTAGAATATACGCACATGAATGCAGACGAGTTCTCAAATAAAGACGAAGAGATTGGGCAATCATAACATGCCCTTTAGCAACTGAATCAGAAATCAACAGCCGAACAATTACTTCACGATTGTCCTTTTTGTCATTTCCACTGTTAGATTCCTTCAGAGTTGAACTGCTTCTAGTTTTCAACCCATCATTTTCAGAATTTTTCATGCTCTCTTTTGGTGATAATCTTGGCACAACAGCTACGAACTGAAGAGATTGTAATGAGAACATTTTTGCTGTTTCTGGGTGAACCATAGCAACAGAAGTAAGAACAACTCCAAGCTCAACGCCTTTGACATAACTTTTGTGAACTAATCTCCTGTCCGGATCTTGAATGCGCAGTAGTGCCTTTGAAATATGATTCTTTCCATTAGAAGAGAGCATGGAACGATCTCCATGTGGGTTGATAGTCTTGCGTCTCTTTGGAGCAACTGCAACTTCAGTCCCTGGCACCAGTTGCACTGGTAATATCCCACAAGTAGACCAAGATATCAACATAGAGTACAACCATTAAGTCACTGCTCATCGATTTCAAATGCTAAGAATTCATTGAATAATTGGATTATGACAAAGCATACAGCATCTTACCCACCGCTTTCTTCGGGAAGGTTGAAGCAACTTGGAATGTAATGGAAGTGCGGCCATTCAACCACAAAGGAAATCTCATTTCTTCATGGAGAATCCTCACCTGCATTTATCAAATGTACAACAAACTGATGCTAATATTCGAATTTGTAGATTTCAAGCAACCGAAAAGGTCATGAATTGACAACATCGGAGTACCTGATTCAAAATTGCAGCCTCTGCTAGCTCAGCATTAAGCTCCAAAACCTCCCAATCATCCTCAGTAGAAGGCTCAATAGTGACCAGAGTAGCCTTCTGCACATTCGAAAGAGCTCGAACTTGAACCCTAGTGCGATCCGGCAACGAAATGCAATCCCCAAATTGCTGAGCAACCTGCAAAGCAATCAGGCACACAATCACTGATCAAATTCTAGAGCTTTCCGTTGCAGAAGCAGAGAAATTGAAGTTGAAACTGAGATTACCTCGATAGCCTGAGAAGCGGAGGTGGCGCCGGACCAAGCGACGTTCCAGCGGTCGGCGGTGGAGGAAGAGCGGAGCTCGAGAGCGAGAACTGGCGGGAGGGATGGGGAGGAGGAGTGGAGGGTTTGGATTAGGGACAGGGGGAGAGAGACGAAGCAGTTGTCTATGCCTCCGACTAACCGGACCTCAAACTCCATGGCCGGAAAGAATCAGAGAGACGGAGTAGAGCTCCGTTTCGGGAAGAAGATAAAGAGTCAAGCTTGAGCAGTGCCGGAAAACGTCGTCCCCCGAGGCTTTCTCGAGTTGAGTAAAATTACGTCTTCCTCCCTCCCTCCAAATTATCCCATTGATTTTTCGGTGTGTATATTTTATAACGTGTTTTTTTTTTTTTCGAATTGAATCCCTTGTTTATTAATTTGTCCGCTTTTTAACTAAATGGTTTTTGTCCGCTTTTTAACTAAATGGTTTCTTCGATTGACGTAACTTCTAATTCTATTCTTTGATATTTAAAATTGATTCAAATAATTTTGAACTTATTTATCATCAATTATTTGTGCTGTTTTGTAAAAAAATCTATGTTAAATAAGAAGAAAATAACAAAAATGCTATTGATTTTGTCAAATCATTTTGGCCTATAATTTGAGGGTAGTTTTATTGTTTCGGTCCTCATTTATCAAAGATTTACAAACAAATTCCAAAAAAATTTCCGCTGCCGGGAGTTGAACCCGGATTAGATAAATTCCGATTTTAATTGCTACAGCGGATTGTTGTTCTATTATCTTCAATTATTTAATTTATATTATCATGTAAGCAAAATAGTTTTTTTTTCCTCAAAAAGAAAATAAATAAATGAAAAATAATCTTCTATTGCCAAAGTCGACACATTTTCCTCAATAATTGACGGTGAACAACTCAAGAACCATTTATATTGACTTCAAATCTTAGTGACCAAAATAGAAATTTACGCAAATCTCAAAATTATTTTAGCTAAAACATTTGCAAACAATATTTTAAAGATTAAAAAAAAAGATAAAAAAGGGTGTTTCATTAAGTTATTCCAATAAATTTCTCTCTTAAAATTAACTAATTTGGCCAAGAAAACGAAAGGGAATGTACCATAAACTTATGAGTAAAATAGGAAAATAATTATAATTAAGGAAAACTAACGAAAAGTTCAAAAAAAATTCCCTTTTAATGAAAAATCATTTTTAATGGTATAATGAATAGTACTAAAAAATATATAACTATGATTTTTCGTTAAAATAAATAATACCAAAAGTATTTTATTAAAACTCCTAATAATTATTGTATACAAGTACACAGTAGTAGTACACAGTACCAAAGTTGAAAGATCTTTTGGAACCCCAAAAAGAAAATAAAAGCAAACGAAAAAAAGGAAATAAAAAAATACGACACCGGATGATCCATGTGTCGATAGCGAGTTAAAACCGCCATGGGGTCCCATCCCACTCACACACGACGTCGTATAAAATGTTCACCATCAAACTCCACTGACTCCCACCAACTCCACCGAGCGTAGAGCCAAAGTTCTGATAGCTCACGCCACTCCCGAGAAGCCACACCGCCCCACTCCGTCGTCGTCTTCTCTCTTTCTTCTGGTAATGTCCTTTCGTGTCCTTCTCTTTCTTCACTCTCTCTCTTACTGTAAATGCTTGGATTGCGTCCACATTTTTCTGCTATTTTCTCGCTATTTTTTCTCTGAGATTTTTTTTTAAAATTTTATATTATGTTCGTCATCGCTTTCTGTCTAATCTGGGGTTTCAGTAAATATTTTCTCGAGAAATTTATTGTAATTGTTTGTGTATAGCAAAATTATATATGCATGTTTATATATGTGTAGGGGCGTAGCTAAATTACATTTTATTGCTAATGTTTGAAAAATAAATTGTGAAAGCATTTTTCTGTCAGAATCAATGGCGTTTTAGTGATTAGAATGAGTTCTTAACAGTAACTGTGCCTTCTTGAATTGTTTTTACCGGAAAGTATATGATAATTACGTGTGAGTGATTAGCGATTAGCCTTTTCGGAATTCGGGGTATGTGGTTTGAGGAAATTTTGTACTTGCTAGACTAGGGTTTCGTGAGAGAGGTGGAGAAAGTGAGGAAACTGTGTATGGAATGAACTTTTGGTCGGAAACGGAGTGGTGTATAAACTGGATTACAATGTAGGATACATTTTTCAGAAAATGTTCGTAGTTGTACCTTCGTTGCTGTAATAAATTGTGTTTGATTATGGTGAAATTTGGATTAAACATGCCTCACTGCGAGGAGTTATATATCGCTGTGCTAAACCCTTCGCATTTTTGTACTTTGAAGTGGTATTTTGTTTTGGTTGGTATGATTACCTGAGGAAGGGATAGTTATGGTTGCTATGAATAGTGAATTTGACAGCTTTTTGTTAAGACCACCAATGGAGTCAGACGAGGAGCAGGATTGTTTTTGCGGGTTATATCCGGAGTATGGTGCAATTTTCATGTCAAGCAGTGCAACGATAGATGAGTGTTTTGAACGGAGACTGTTTGGCCTTCCATCTTCACAAGGCCAATTTGTAAAGCAGATTAAAACTGGAATGATTTTGTTTCTGTTTGAATTCGAGAGGAGAGAACTTCATGGTGTTTTTCAAGCATGCTCTGATGGTGAAATGAATATTTTGCCTTCTGCATACAATTCATCAGGAAGGCAGTTTCCTGCTCAGGTATGAATAATGTCTAGTTTCAGTTGAGAATCCACTATTTTCGTTTATATTTTTATTTATTACAAATTTCCAATTGGATCTATTTTTGTTATATTCTTTATGCAGGTAAAAGTGAAGCTTATTTGGCGTTGTCATTCGCTTTCAGAACCTGAATTCAGTGGCGCAATCAAAGATAACTACTTTTCAAATTGGAAGTTCCGTTTCGGTCTCTCCAAAGCTCAGGTTTTCTCCTTTCCTATTAAGTCAGACCTTGATGGGACTTAGAATTGCCTTCCTTAACAGTATTGTTTCATGTATATTTGTAGGTCCGAAGACTTTTATTGTTGTTCAGCTCACGAAAGTTAAAATATCAGCAGCGGCAGAGACAATTAGCCAGTAGAAGAGAACCAATATCAGTGGACACTGCTGGTAGAGTCAAGGAAGTCGATGATGGCAAGTCTGTATTGAGTGATAAGGCAATCAACAAGCTTGTTGCCGACAATCATAATGGGCCAAAAATGAGTCAGTCACCGTGGAATGTCTCTGGGAATATTGGAAAAGAAGATGGTGGCATGTTGGCAAGTGATGAAGTGGGTAATCTTCATGAAGTAGACAAGAAGGTTGGGAAGATCATGCAGCGTGTGTATCTTGGGCCTGTTCCAGGTGAAGTTGGAAAATTGGATGCTGCTTTTGCAATGTCTGAGAGGGCAGGGAATGAATTTAATGTGGATGTTGAATCTGTGTCATCTGAGCATCCTATGTCGGATCAATCTGGACGAGGTGATGACGATCTGGTAATTCATGATGATTCTAGCTGTTTAATTGGTGATAAATTACAAATTGGCAATAGTGAAAGTAATGTTTTTGGGTCAGCTGTACCTACTGCGAACCCTGCTTTCTTTCAGTCTAGTCTTGATAGACCTGTCTGTCCTGGCTTGCCTGTTGAAGAAACGGGTTCTTTGGTTCAAGATCAAACTAGATCAACTTCGACTGTTGGCAATCTAATGGAGCTGCCAATTGCTAGCCATATTTGTTCCGCATCTCCATCTTATAGAGATGCGATTGTAATCAGCACCTATGATCCTGATGCTCTTAGTCTGAACAATCCACGCTCACCATCACTTGGGGTCAATCAGAGTTCAAATTCCGTTCAATATTGTTATAAACAACATGGCATTCTTTCCATTACAAATCAATCATATACAGAGCTAAAAGGAATCAATCAAAGCCTAGAATCCAATCCAAAGTTTGATGTTCATGTTCCAATCGCATCCCATGACCTTTACGAGCACTCATGTCACGGGGACATCATGCCTTTTCCAGGGCTGGCATATTCTGAAGAATTGGCTATAGATTCTTCTGGAAAACATTGTTCCGGGGAGCCAGTTTTGAACAGTTCTTTATCAATTGAAAGTTTATCACAAATTGGAAGTAGTGGGACGGAAACCAAGAGGCCAACATCTTATTCTCTCAGTCCTAGTAACTGTCTGTCCTTTGTGATTGATCGTGGTCATCCTGTAGCATTACAAAAGAAACTTGAGCAAGAAATGGCACAGAAATTGAACGATGAACCATGTACTGCTAATGTAACTTCATCAGAGGAGCTTCAGTTCCAGTGGCAATGTCGCATTCATCCTGATGATCACAGCGTGGACCACCATATACAGAAATCTTATGATCGTGATCTCAATTCTTATGCATTCTCTGAAGGTAAGCATTCTGATCTGAAGAATGAAAGAAGTGTATTTTCTCGCTTGGCTTCAGATACGCCTGGCAAAGATAACAGTATGCATGCTGACAACGAGGAAAGTGATAACGATGCATCAGTGGATGAAGTCATGGCAATGTTGAGTGCGAGTAACTACAGCTGGGTGAAGTCAAAAAATCCTAAGCGGCCTACTAGACGGCACGATGACCAAGAGAAGTTTAGGAATAAGAAAAAGACCAAAGTGGACTCTGAGTTGGATAGTAATTACTTGGAATTGATTCCAAAAAAATCAAACATGGCTTCTGCTACACCTGTTGAAGACAAAGATGATCAAAGGCGCGAAGAGGTACCATTTGTGGATTTCAAGCGACGGAGTGAACTGCAGAAACTTAATGGTGATACCAAAGCCAGAGCCAAGGATGAAATTGCAGAAAATGATAGACTGTTGGGTGGGCAGTGCAAGAGAAGGAAGTTGGTCAGGCCGAGTTTCAATGACAACGAGCCACACGATGAAAAAAGCATGAATGAAAACCCATCTCTGATTTTACAAGCATCATCACAAGAATCTTCTGTTAGCGAAGATGTTAATGGCAAGAGAAGGAAGCTGGTTAGACCAAAGTTCAGGGTGAATGAGCCATGTGATGACAAAAGCATGAATGGAGACACTTCTAAAATTTTACAAGTATCATCTCAACACTGTTGTACTAGTGAAGATAGTGGAAGTTGCGAGGCTTCTGTTGGAAGCCAAGGTAAGTTGTTACCGCAAGTTATAGGTTTGTCGCTTATGGTGTGTCAAAGCAGTCATGAGAATGAGAATAATCAAACCGAAAGATCTTCAAAACATGAAAGAGAAATTGAAGCTGAAAGCTCCGCAGCATCAGCCAAATTAGGAGATGAAGGTCGAAAAGAGCCTCTTCATGATGTTGGCAGCCAAATTGCTGACCTTGCAATCCCTAAGTTGTTACCGCAATGTACAGAATCGCCTCAAGTGGTTCGTGAAGGTCAAAAAGAGCTTCTTCATGACGTTGGCAGCCAAATTGCTAACCTTGCAATTCTGTTACCGCAATATACAGAATCACCTCAAGTAGTTCATCAAAGCAGTTGTGAGAATGAGAATATTGAAACGGAAAGATTTCAAGAATATGAGCTGGAAATTAAAACAGAAATTTCCAGACGGTCTCTCAAACTTGGAGATGGTGGTGGAGTGGAGCCTCTTCATGATCTTGGCAGCCCAATTGGCAGCCTTGCAATCCCATATGGAGACAACAATCCTAATGTTCAGAAAGACTCGGATTATAAGGTTCCTATTGTAAACAAATCATCTCAAGATTGTAATGATATCAGTCACATCACTGTTCAGGAGTCAGCCCTGCGATTACCTGAACAGAATTCTGGAACAGAAAATGCATTTTCTGAAATTGAATGTGCAAGAGTCAATGAACTGGAGTTGCTTCCAAGCGTTGAACTTTGTCCTGAAAGTGGTGATCTTAGTAGCGGTAATGCAATAGGCAGCTCAAGTAATCTAAACTCTGGGTTGCAAAGAGGAACCAAAGAAGTTGCTATTTGTGTATATGCTGGTGTTGGTGATAACCACCATGAATCCAGTAATAAACAATCTGAGGCATCTCTTGACACCGTGGGTTGCTTGGACAAGCAAGAACCGTCTCAAGATCACAGATCCAGTAAATTGTCTGAGGCATCTTTTGGCACTGTCGGTTGCTTCAAAAAGCCAGAATCTTCTCTAGAATTTCGGGACCTGAATTTGGGATTTGGAGAGCGACTTTTTATACTTAGTAATAGTTTCAAAAGCTCTGATGTTACTGCTTCCAAGCTTGTGGGTGAAAGGAGAGATGGTCTTCAAATCAGCGGTAGTAATGTTTGCAAAAGTTCCGACATTGATACTTCTGAGATTGTGGAGGATACGATTAGCAAGGATCTTGGTCCAAGCAGAAAACTTGATCTCAAGGCAGCCGACAACCGCTCTGATATTGATACTTCTAAGCATGTGGGCGATGCACAGGATTCTCTTCCAATCAGCGGTAGTAATGTTTGCAAAAGCATTAGTACCTCTGAGAATGTATGCAAGGGTATAATTAGAAAACGTGTACTGAAGAGAGCAATCAACTGCTCTAAATTTGATACTTCTATGCATGTGGACGATGTGAAGGATGTTCATCCAATCCGCGACAGTAATGTTGACAAAAGCATTGGTACCTCCGAGGATGTGGAAGAGAAGAAGGTTATTTTCCCAAGCAGGGCTATCATTAGAAAACGTGTACTCAAGATAGCAGACAACTGCTCTAAAATTGATACTTCTAAGCACGTGGACGATGCAAAGGATTTTCTCCCAATCAGCGGCAGTAATTCTTGCAAAAGCTCAGACGGTGCTACCTCTGAGAGTGCGGAAGCAAGGGAGGATGTTCTTCAAAGCAACGTTGAAATCGGAAAAGGTGAACTCAAGACGGTCTGCAGCCAAAATACAAGTTTAGCTCATGATTTTGAGTTTGATGATGATAGTAAAACTGATGATACTAGAAGAGAAAACAAGAGGCTTTGGAGTATTCTAACGGCCAGGTTGAAGCAGCTGAAGAATGCTCAACAAACAACAGTGACAAGGTCCTAGCTTTCGGTCGATGATCCATCCTGAAAACGAGTCATTGCAGTTGACGAACAGTTTTTTCAAGTTTTTGTTTAGTCGAAGTTAAAGATCAACCCACATTCCTGTAAAAGCCGAGTACTAGGGCTTTTCAGCTTGTCGTGGTGTTACTAACCGAAGAGCTGGAAATACACGCATGAAAGCTGCCGCCTGCCGCCTGCCGCCTGCCGCGTTCTTGACCTTCTTCCGGTAGCTGTTTTGGAGTTGCTTGGAGTGGAGTGGAAGAATGCAATGGTTATGCATGCAAAGTGATGACCCTTTTTTTTGGTTAAGCTCTGATTTTGGTTAAAGAAAATCAGGATTTGTGAATCTGTTGAAGCAGGTTGAAGGAAAATTATAATCTTGTTTTTTGTACTGCAGTGGTTTGTGTGGGTGATGCCTTTACATTGGATAATGTTCTTGAGATGTTTCCTTATCTTCCAAAACTTGAATTTATTTTCTTCATCTCCTTAGCATATTCCTAGCCTTTTGAACTTCAAAAACTTCCATCCAAAGTGCTCTCCACGTATGCTATCCATTTGATGCTCAAAACTGTTCCAAAATGCACTTTCTTGCCAACTTTGTCAAATAAACCTACAAACACACGAAAATAGCTTAAAACACTATAATAAGTAAGAACTAACAACATAAATGTAAGAAAACAAGCTAACTAAGTCGCATAAATATGTTCCTATCAAACGGCGCCAAAATTTGATGTGAAAATTAACTTGACACGCAAATTAAACCTATTGATGACAATTGTAGTATTAAGCAAGTAGGGGTCGTTCTAGACGGGGGATTAACTAAGACTGCTAATCAACACAAATAAGACTCAAAAACACTAAACTAGACTCTATAGACTCAAAACTGACTCAAAACACTTAAAACAGCAACAAACAATAAAAAAGACTCAATTCTAGACCTAACAAGTGATTTGGACGAAAATAAGACTTAACTTGACTCAAAAGACTAAAAGAAAACAGATTATGACTCAACTAACAAGACTTAATGAAAGGGGGATTGTTTTTGATGAATTTAAAACTTAAAACAGAAACTTTGCATAAAACACTTTAATAAAACGAATTTGATGAATATAAAAGGGTGAAAGGCTAGTTAGAGAGTCATTCTCCACGCATGACATATGCATATAAACCAATTTCCAGTTATTATTCCTTTAAACCATGAATGACAGCACCCCAAGTTAACCGTGACAGCACAAATTAACCATCAAATTTTCCTTAACTCATTGAATTGGACGAGATACACATCACAACCAAATTATCCTTATCAAGTTCCTTAACCATGAAAAGCATGATAGAAAACATATCAAAAGTCATTAAGTTCTTTGAAAACCATAAGCATTGACGAGACATTCATAACTATGAAAAGCATGATACTCCTGCCTAGGATTTACTTAACACGATCGCGACTAGCAACCTCCACTACTTGTGAATATAAGTTCATAATGATTTGATGAAACTCCCTTATACTCTAGCATCAAATTCATGCATGCAAATTAAGTGTCAACCCTCAGTCTACATACATAAATAAGTTTTAATAACTCAGATAAACAAATCACATTCAAGACTCAAGAAACAATAACTGGATGTAATCAATTCATATAAAGCATATAATCATGACTTTGAATTCACCTCTAACTATAAAGAAATTAGTTCCTCATGTTCGTAATTAAACAAAGATAACTTAAATTAAACATTAAAAACAAATATAGAAAACACTTAAGAACGCTCCAGCAATCTAATCTTGAATGGCATGGGCACGGCAAAGGTTCTCATATCCTTTCTCCTTGCAAAGCTGCGGCACAAGATGAGTTTTTTTTTGTGGTGATGGATGTTTGTACGAATTTATGGTGAAAAGTGGATGGTGTGGTGATCTGATGGTAGAAGGTGGTGATCTGATTTGTGCGACATAATGATGTATTTATAGGCTATAACTCACGTCACAAAGGTAGCATAGGAGAAGGATTACACAATCCTAAAGGAATAGGACTAGGAAATTCAGCACAAAGCTTCTAGAAAGGGATTAAATTCGTCAGATTCTAGGGTGTTGATGCACAAAACTGGAGGTCTTGGAACAACGTAAATCTGACCGTGAATCTACAAGAAAGTAAATAACACAAGATGTATCGTGGTTCACCCCAAGGTTTGGGCTACGTCCACACTGATTGTATTTTTTGAGGGAGAGAGAGCTCTGAGAGTGAGAGCGTTGAGATGGGGTGAGAGGGCCTAGAAATTGGCATCCTCTAATTGTGAGGGTGAGGGGTTCTTTTATAGAATAAGGACTCCTCACTTATTACATATTTTCCCATTTCCTTTATTACATAATTACATTTAAGTCCCTCGAGTATTTATACGAGGTCTAAATACGAAGCCTTAAATATGGTATAAACAGTAGTCCCCCAAGTCTTCAGTCAAGAGAGTCTTTTGGCTGGAGACTTGAAATTCAGTCCATGTGTGGGCCGAAGTAACTAGATATTATCTTGAACTGATGCTCGATATAAGGCAGTGCTCAATCTGAAATGATGCTCAACTAGAAGTAGCACACGCTGCGAGGCTGCTCAGCTCGTGGCTTATGTTGCCTTGGTTGGCTCGGCTTGCGGCGTTTGAAAGTGAGGGAGTCCCTTTTATAGAATAAGGGCTCGCTCCTCAATACATGAATGATGGGCTAGAGTTGATGCTCTCTAATGACGGTGAGGGAGTCCCTTTTATAAAATAAGGGCTCGTTCCTCAATACATAAATGATGGGCTAGATTTGATGCTCGCGGCGAGGCGGTTGCTCAGTAGGCGGCGATGCTCTCTAATGGTGGTGAGGGAGTCCCTTTTATAGAATAATGGTTTGCTCCTCAATACATAAGTGATGGGTTAGGAGTGATGCTCGCGGCGAGGCGGTTGCTCAGCTGGCGGTGTTACTCTCTAATGATAGGAGTCATTTTTATAAAATAAGGGCTCGCTCCTCAATACATAAGTAATGAGCTAAGTCCCCCAAGTATTTTTCACGAGACCTAATTGAGGCCCAATATATGGTATATAATGTAGTCCCCCAAGTCTTCAGTCAATAGAGTCTGTTGGCTGAAGACTTCAAATTGAATCTATGTCTGGGCCGAAGTGACGGTTGTTCGGATGCGGTATTTGTATACCCTGCACTGAAGCTTTGTAAGTGAAGCTTTGAAGCTGGAGCTCTGTAAATGAAGCTTTTGAAGCTGTAGCTCTGTAAATGAAGCTTTTGAAGCTAAAACTTTTGCAAATGAAGCTTTTGAAGTTGTAGCTCTGTAAACGAAGCTTTTGAAGCTAGAGCTTTTGTAAATGAAGCTTTTGAAGCTGATTGACATGAGTGATGCTCATGGATGTTAACATGAGTGATGCTCATGAATATTGACATGAGTGATGCTCATGAATGTTTATGTATGATTGATATGAGTGATGCTCATGAATGTTTATGTATGATTGATATGGGTAATGCTCATGTATAATATAAAGTATTGGGCGTACTTTTGATCACCTGGTTGGTGGCATGAATGGCTAGTTGCCAAATTAGAGTAGGGGTTGTACATCTCATCACCTGGTTGGTGGTAATAGCGGCGGGTCGCCAAATATTTTTGGAGTACTAGGCGTACTTTTGGTCACCTGGTTGGTGGTAATAGCGGCGGGTTGCCGAATAATTATGGAGTACTGGGCATACTTTTGATGACCTGGTTGGTGCTATTTTGGGCTTATGGACCTTCGCCATCTACACAACATTCTAGCCCATTTATTTTGGGCTTTGCCGTTTTTTTTTTTTTACCCTCTGATGGGATTTATACATATTACCCTCGGATGAGTTTATATAGATGTCTCCGAAAGATAAAAATAAATTACATCATTCTGGTGGGATGTTTATTCTTGCTTTTGTTTTTCTGGTTTGCTTTTGCTTTTCCCACTTCATTTCTTTCTCTTTTCCTTTTGCTTTCCACTGCATCTCCATCTCTGTCTCTTGGCAAAACTGGAAGGCCAACTCCACTTGCTTTTCTTGGACAGCCTAGTCGTGCCCATCACTCGTCATTTTTCTTTTTCTTTTTATTTTCTCTTTTCCTTTTGCACCCCGCTCTGTCTCTTCACCTCCATGCAGACTTGCTTTTCCTTTTTCTTTTCCCAGCGTACTTTTTTCTGTCTCTCCATCTCTCTGGCAGCCCGACCCATGATTGAAGCCGTCACCATCGAAACCATCAACGCATCTGCATTGGTACCCGTCTGTTCTCTCGCTGAGCTTTACCCAAATACCCATGGCATTCGGATCGCAGTCGCAGAGTCCCTTAAGTTTTCATCCCAACTCCACTGTTTCGAAATCCAGCGAGAGCGGTGACTCCCCATCTGACTGAAACGAAATCGACCCGAACAAGTTTTTTGCACCCAGTCCGACTCAAGTCCTTGAATCGCATAACTTTTGACTGGTTAATTGATATCTAGCTTTCTCTCTCTAGGAACCAAGCGAGTGGTCCACCATTTTGTGACTCAAAAATCATCTTCCCAAAACCAGAAAACAAAACTTGGTTCGTTTAATACCGCCACAACTATGACTGCTTGCTTCCACACAGGCAATTGGCATTGTATGTTTCTAATTGTTTGTGCAATTGCAGTGATACATCACATTCATCAGCTGCAGGATTCTTGGCAAAAAGATGAATTGAAAACCACCAGAATATAAAAAATATCAGGATACTTGACGTTATTGCCACATGTTTTCAAAGATTGATGGTGATTCAGAGATGTTTCAAAGATTGATGGCGGATTTGAACTGTTTCTTCACCATGATTGCAAAACAGGGGAGTGAGCGGGAGCGAGCAGATCAGGATGAAGACGCCAGTGGAAAACCCGATAATGAGGGCGGTTCTTTTTGGGATTTTGTGAATCGGCTGAGTCAACTCAAAGCCGTGGATATTTTCTGCATTGCTCTGCCCGACCGCCCTCGTGGGCGGCGAAGTTTTGTGAACATGAATTGCTCCGAAAAAAGGATTTCGTCCGGTTGCATTCCTTATTCACAGTCACGCCGCAAAGGCCTGGGTTCCACAAGAAGGATGAAGCACCGAACCGCAACAGAGTCGGAGTGATGGGGATTGCGCCAGTGAGGTTGTTTCCGAAGACATTGAACGTCTGAAGCGTGTTCTGGTTTAGAGGCGGGACTGGTCCACTGAACATCGTATTCACAGAAGGACTGGACGACGGTGGCGTTGGAAGAGAATGGAAGGGTGCCGTGTAAATCCGTTTTGGATTGAAGGCAACGAGGGCGAGAACATCTGGTGGGAGTGATGGTTGCGTGTCTGAAGGCCTAGAGGAAATAACAGAGAAATAACAGTGGAGGTGGAGAGTGAGAGAAAAAGTAAAAAGATGTGCCATTTCTTGAAAATTGTTGGAGAAACGGAGCGTAGCTATCTGTGTTTCTGTGCGTTTTACAGATTCACAGCGGAGGTGAAAA